CGTCCGAGGAGCATACGGCGAAGGGTGACGCGTTCCGAGTGATCGCCATAGTGCATGATCACGTCACGGTCTCACGGATCCCCCGGAGTGGTTGAGGGTACCGTCGACGTTGTAGACAGGGGACTGCGCGAGGGAGCGCTTGGTGGTGAGGCGATGGCGAAGCACGAGGTCGTTGTCGATGAAGCATCCCGTAGCACCGCTGTCGAGGAGGGCTTGGACCGCGAACTTGTGACCTGAGTCCGTGGCCTGAAGCTGGAGGGGGAGTTCGGTGCTTCGGGAGCGTCCGGAGACACCGGCGAGAACGTAGACAAAGGGAGGAGGATCCGAGGAAGGCGCGACTTGCTGTACTCGAGGCGATATATGATAAATCGGCTCGGGGGCCGGCATAATGATTTCAGGCAATACAGCGAATCTATTGGTCGTTTGCAGCGCGCTTGCAGACGACCCTACGCAAAATCCTCCTCCTGGTTCTCAGCTTCTGGTTCTCCTAGGGGCTCCGCCTCCTCGTCTGCGGGGACCACCCAGATCTCCCCGATCAGGTCCATCTGCTCCAGGACGTCCTCGGGGAGTCCGATAGCGCGGATCTGAGCGCGCTGCGGGCATTCGCGAGCCAGGTGTCCAGGCTGACGGCAGATGTAGCAGACGCGCTGTCCTCCTCAACGTGTGGCGTCAACGTCCATAGGAACGCCCGGTGGCAAGGGCGGGGGTCCTGGAGGAGGCGCGAAGCGCGGGGCGGCGGGTGCGATGGGGGCCGCGACCTGCGGGCGAGCGGCGGTGCGCGGGGGAGCGTAGGTCTGAAGCGTCGGCTGGCGAGGCGGGGCCCTAGGAGCTCCTGATGGCTGGGAAGGGCGCAGGCGGAACGCCTCGGCCTGTCGTGCAGCGCTGGCTTCCCTCAGGCGGCGATCCATGCGGGTGACCGCGGCCTTCCACTCAGGGAGAGTGTCGGGTCCGAAAGGCGTGGACTCCAGGGCGATCCGGAAGTGAGAGGGGATCGCCTGCTTGAAGGTGGCAAGGAGAGAGACGTCCTTGCTGACTCCGGCCTCTTTGGCGAGATTCTTGAACTGGCGTATGAAGTCTTCGGCGACCGAGGAGCCCATGTGGAGCGTGCGGAGCTTGTTGAAGGCCGTAGCGGTGGGGTTGGGGTCTTCGAAGGCCGCGCGGAAGTGGCGTTCGAAGTGGGCCCAGGACGCAAGGTAATCCGGAGCCTCCTCGGGTTCCCTAACGCCCGTCTGAAGGTCGCGGAGGATCTTGGAGATGTTATCGGCCCAGGTACCAGCCGTCCCACCGTGGCAGTACGAAAGTAGGAACTGGATGCGTTGGATGGGGTCGACGCAGCGGCTGTGGTCGAGATAGTCGTTCACAGACCGCAGGAAGGTCCGGGCCGTAGACCGTGTACCGTTGAAGGAGTCAGGACGACGGAACTTGATAGTGGCGTTGACGCGCTCCTGGTGGAGGTACCCTTCCATGGCGACAATGCGCGCGAGGAGCTGCGGCACGGTCGGTGGCTCTGGAGGGGCCTCCTCGGCTTGTACGGGTTGATTCTGCGGTGCCTCCGGCACCGCAGGAGGTGCGGGGGGTAGATCTTCGTCCATGCTGAGAGGGGCGAGTCGGGGGAAACCGGGATGAAGGCGGTGCGATGGTATGGGTTCGCTAGAGGTTGCTTCTGGCGGCCGGCGGAACGGCGAGGCGTGAGCGAACTTCGAGCGAGGGCCTTCCGGCAGCGAGCGAAATCGCTAGGGGAAGTGTGGAGACTTGTTCATCTGTCAGAGTACGCGCTGGAGCTCCTAGGAGCGGCGCGGATCCCCCGGGACGGCGGTGGAGACGCTGTCGCACAAGGCAGGGAGGCAACTGAGTATATATACAAGGATACGAGGGGAAATACACATACCTGTCGCACAAGGCAGGGAGGCAACTGAGAGAACAATTCTGGGTTGCTCCCTGGTGCGACAGGCGACTATATAGTAGATGAGTAATCCATCAACGCAACGAAAGATGGTCCAATGAGAGAAGGGGAGGGTCCTCGGGCGCCCGACACGTGACCGGTGGACCGGCCTAGGAAGGCCGGTCGAGTGCGGAGGCCCTAGGAGCACCGAGCGACGGAACGAAATAGGGGA